AAAGTACTAGAACAAAGCCCTGGAATTTACATTGAAAATAAGGACCCCACATTATACAAAGTCTATGAAAATGCTTTTATAAACAGTGCTATAGGATAATGACTATGAGAGAATTCCTCGGTCATTTTTTTCACATTCTTCAACATGCCAATGGACATTTTTTTTTTTAATTTTTTTATCTCATTCAATAGGTCAACTCACCTAGTTAGTTCAGCCTCGCGAGTTAGTTATTAGTATGGACTCCGAAGCCAGACTGCCTAGGTTAAATTGCAGATGTACCATTGACAAACTATATTGCCTTTGACAAAGAAAATCTTAGTGCTTCAGTTTAATCATCTATAAAATGAGGATAATATAAATAACTACAGTGTTATGATTAATGAGTAAGGTGATGCAAATTAGTGCCTAGAATAATGCCTGACACAGTAAAAACTCAATAAATGTTAACTATTATTATCCTCTGTGACCCAAAGTCAGAATTTCAACAGGGAGCAGGTGAAAATTCTGTGTTTAAATAAATAAATTTTTATCACCTCCATATTTTTTCAGCTCAGTTGTCTTTTCTAAGGACAATGTTGCAAAATATTTGTTTCAAATAAGAATTTATTCAGGCACTTGAGCATATTCAACCTTCCTACGCTCAATATCACTTGTTAGTCTGCTTGGGCCACCATAACAAAATGGCATAGACTGGATGTCTTAAACAACAGAAATTTATCTATTTTTCTCAATGTTCTGGAGGCTAGGCTGTTCCAGATCAGCTGATTTTGTTTATGGGGAGAGCTGTCTTCTGAATTTTAGATGGTTGCCTTCTCCCACGGTGTAGAGAGTGAGCTCTCTGGTATCTTTTCTTATAAGGACACTGATTCTATCCTCTCAGGGCTCTACTGTCATCACTTCTTTACCTCCTTGTAGGCCCTATCTCTACATATAGTCAGTTTGGGAGTTATGGTTTCAACATATAAAATTTAGGGGAAAACAATTCAGCATACAATGGCAAGTGTGTAAGATGGTCCTCCATAGAGGGCATAATACAAGTCAGACACCTTGAGTTTCAACCAAATGTTAAATGCATAGTTGTATTTTTAAGCATATATAGAAATTTCTATTCAATCAAAAACACCAAACTCAGCATTTCAGTCATTGGCCACAGAACTCACTCCAAAATTAATAGACATCTGACTTTATAAAAATCTTGTCTGAAACAAAATCTCAGAATGAAAAAGTCACAGTCTAAGTAGCCATTAATTCCTCTAGATTCTTCAAGCTCTTCTCCCATATCAAATCAGATCACCAGGAAATTGTCTTCACAGAAGTCATTATCTTAGTTTCCTATAACACTGTCTTCACAAAATTATAATTTGAAGTGTTTCTTTATATTAAAGACTTTATATAAAAATGGTCGATAAAAACACTGACTTGTTCATCAAAAGGCTATTGATACCATCTTTAAATGTTTTTCAGTGTCATATCTTTATATGTAAATAAAATAGGATCCACTGGATACAAATTCTTCCTCACTGATATTTTCTCATTATACCAACATTACTACATTAATAACCATATTAATACCTATTAACGCTTATTGGACTTTTACTGTGTATAAAGTACTTTGGCAAATGTTTATATGTTTCCATAGTTTTTTTCTCACAAAAAGTCCTGTGATATGAATAGCATTCTTATGATAATTTTCAGTTAAAGAAATCACATCAGCGAGATTAAATAATTTGACACAGGATTCCGAGATACAAGTGACTGAATTAAAATACAGAGCCATGTGATTCCAGAACTGGTTCTTTCACTCTCATGAAAAAAATCTACTTACTTGAAGGGTAAAATTTTGAGGGGAAAAAAACATTTTCAACTAAATAAATCAGTAGCTCTAGGTTCTTTATATCATTTTCTAAAAAGACAAATCTATCCTCTCTAGTAATCATGTTGACAAGGCCTGCAGAGATGCTACTACTTTTTGGAGCTATCAATTTTTTGTGGTCTTGTAAAACTGGTGATTATTATCAACAATCATGCATACAGAAAACCCAGACAAAATAATTTTCCCTATGTGGAAAATCAATCAGCGATCCTACAAAGATTCAGGTTATAATGAATCACATCAATACAATTTTTAAGTCCTATCATTCGGTAAAATATTTGACTATGAATTTGTACAGTCATGTGAAATAATAGCTTTTCATGGTAGTGACTGATACAGGAAAGCCAAAATCCAGTATAAATATGAGGAGGAGACTAAAAGTTTATGTCTAGAAGAGGTACATCTCTGACAAAGATTAAGAAAATTGAAGAATTTTCTCACATTCTTGAGCTGTCTTTAATGAAACAGTCATCAGATAATCAACTTATTTTAAATATTTTCCTTAAGAAACCACAAAGATGCTGTAAGTATTGAGGGTTTCAAAATATTCGGAATCATTATGAGACAAGTGCCGCTAGTATTATTTGTGGCTTGTACAATAAATTTGATGTCATGGAAAATATATTGACTTTTGACTGTGGAGGAAGCAATTTTGATATGTCTATTCTCTTTATTTCAGATCAAATTTTTAAAGGTATTGCACAGCTAGAAATATCTATTTGCCTACTTGGGTTGAGAAAACATTTTTAAAATACCAGTTAAGCTTATTGCTGAGTTCAAGTAAAAGCATAAAAAGAACATCAGTAAAAGCAGAAGAGCAATCCATTTGTACTGCTTGTGAATGTACAAAGGGCACCTCCTTCCAGAACTCAATCTGTTAGGGATTCTCTTCTACTTCTCTGTTATAAGACCATTTAAAAGAATAAAATGCTGACATCATGTGATCTGTAGAGAAAGCTCTTTGATTCATAATATTGTCTGGTAATTGGTACAATAGGATTCAGAAATTCCTATAAGACTTATTCAATAAGCAATTAAACAAAAGTATCGACCTTACAGAGACAATCACTTATAGTACAAGTATCTATGTGGCTATCTCACCTAGGGACACATATGGACATACTCAGAATTTGTTGTTTCTTAGATATTATACTTTTCCTTTGGTATTGATTTCACACCAAGAAGAAACAAGTGTGCTCATTCAGACATAAAGATGAGAAAACAATGACTAAAGACGACTCTATACTTGGCAAATTCAAACTCTCAGATAGCTCTCTATAATGTATAGATTGCTCAAAAGGAAAAAAGCTCACATAACTGCCAATAAACTTTTCAATGGGTCTTCTGTTGATGCAGATAGAATTATAGGGAAAGAGAATAAATAATATTTGAGCTAAGAAAATTATGGGTGTGTTATCCAGGAAGCTGAGAAATATAAAACTGTAGATGATAAGTAGGAAAGACAAATACCTCTTGCAAGAACTTATCCAAATTCTGTGCCTGAGCCATCAAAATAAAGTTTTTAGAAGAAGATAAGAAACTTTAAAGAAAGATCAATAATAAGCAAATGAATTTAATAAAATCATCAACTGGCTGGGGAAAAGAAATCAGATTGTTGAGGAGAAGGAAAAAATTGAATATCCACGGAAAGATGCAACCCTATCATCATAAGATTATGCCAGCACTCAGGGGTCAGGCCAGAGAGAGGCAAGAGGCTACTGGGAGTAAAGACCTCCATCCCATGGAGTAATGTGTTCTGAATTCATCACAGGAAAGAGAACAGTAAAAGAAGACAGAAGGAACTAATTCTAGACAAAAATGTTGAAAATCGAAAATTTGTGGGTTAATCTATTTAGTGGAAGTTTAAAAATCATAATTATATGTTAAGCTGCTATATATAATTATATGTTAAGTATTCAGATTTCTAGCCAATCTGAATACTTAAGAGTGTGAACAGCAAATGAAGTGAATATCTCTTCACTTTATCAATACTGTAAATATGGGAAAAATACAATTTGTGCACCAAAGACTAAAGATCTGTTTAAAATTTGCGCCAATAAAAAAATAAATATAATCTTGAAAGTGGAAAAGGCCAAATTGCATTCAGAAATGATAGATTCTAATCCACTGATTAAACCAAATGTATACTGAAAGTAATTAAAAATAGTGAGAAATTTTTTGAGAATGAAATTAATATCTGCTACTAAGATCTTATTATTTAAAATTCAAACATATGTTCAAACATAATTTACTCCAACGAGTGAACTATGGTTCTGAGGTAAAAAAATACCTTGCCTCCTTTCATACTTTCAAAATCTTGCAATTATATTTTAAATTCAGTGATTCGTTTAATTATATAATAAATCCACTATAATGAATTGACCATCTACTATATGCTAAATACTATACTAGATGCTGGGTAAAATACAAATGTAATTGAGAAATGATTCTCCAGTTTCAATTATCACATAACATAATAGAAGTGATAGTCATATACATAACAGATTAAAATAACTCAGACTGCAATGATATTGATAAAGAAAGTCCTAGTCAACCTACAAGGACACTTTTGAATTTATATTGTCTCTGTAGTACCCTTTTTTTTAAAAAAAAAATATTTTATTCTAATAGCCCCCTGGAGCAACAGTAGTAAAATGACCTTTAGTCTTGAGATACAAGACAGGTACATTTTGATGGAATTTAAGTTAGATATGAAGGACGTACTAAATTATGTGTGATAGAAGAGAAATTCTCCAGGTGGGAAAAGAACAAGAGAAAGAGTAGATGGCTAGAGAAAATGGAGAACAAGATGGACGAAAAATTCTTAAGTGGAAAAGAATAAAACAACTTACATACATTTCGTAAGTTTTCCCAAAGTCATCTTTTGATTTCAAAGAATGTAAATTGAATCATAAATCAACTAGCTCTAGTTTATATTTCAGTTGCCTCAAAATTACTGATCAAAAATTTCCATGTTATAAAACATTCTTCCTAAACTTTTAGGAAGTCCCACTGAATTTAAATTAATCTCCAACTTTGAAATGTTAACTTTTGTAAAAGGCTTATTATATGTAGACAAGGACATTTTAAAACTATTTCTCATCAAGTGGAAAAATAATTTACTTACAATTATCTGATATTTTTGAAGAGAAGTAGTCCAAAAGACCTAAAATACTTGTTTCCTTCAATTCTGGCTGTTTTGGTTTGTCCATGTGTAAAATATCCTTTTGTGAACTTTTACATTGACAGAAACCAACAAAAGCAGTTTTTCGCAAATATGAAGTGGTTGCATACAGGCAAATTTCTGCAAGAATTGTTATATATATGTAGACTATATTCCAGGCCCAGGAAAAATTGTCTACTTCGCAGCTTTCTTCCTAAAATGAGAAAATGGTTCTCAGATAATCTAAGTATGTTCTATTATAACTAAGAACTATATATTGTACTTATAGGAAGAAATATCTTCAAATTTTATAGAGTTCTTAAAAGACCATAATCAACTAATATTTCTAAAACGTACTCATTAAAAAACAGATTTTTCATGGGTAGATTGCATAAAACCTAGTTCAAAGATTTTAAAACACAAGTAGCTAAAAAGTATATAGAGAACAACTTTTCAATTTCCTCAGTCATCAATGGAATATAAATTAATCCAAGATACTATTTTCTGTGTCACATTTTAAAAGAATCTTTTATGTAAAGCTCAATTTAGCTTTAAAATGATGTACTTTTATACATTTTTCATAGGAAAGCAAGAAAGTTATATATTCTGAAAAGAATTTGGACATTTGTCCTAAGAATATAAAAATAAAATTTATAGTCTATCACTCAGTAATTTATTTTCCGAATCTATTCTAAAGAAATAGTCATAAATATAAATAAAGATTTTATGTATAAGACTACCAGTTCAACATTATTTGTAATTAACTGTGAATAATTAGAAACAAACTCAATGTTCAACAATAGAGAAATGATTAAATAAGGTCATCCCACTAAAACATATGTTTTAATAAAGATAACAAAAAATGTTTTTATGATATACTGAAATTTTTTAAACAGGAAACTAAACCACACATAACTATATGATCTCAGGTTTGTTAAAATGTAAAGTTCCTCTCCTGTGTGCACATGTGCACACATGCAGATATATAAACTATATCTACATCTCTACGTCTATCTACATATATATTTCTATTTACCTATTTATAGTGGGATATGTGGTAAATATGCATTTATTTTTATACTTAATTAAAATTATTACAAAGTTATACTCATTACAAGCCCTAATATGATATACAATTTAAACAATGGCAAAAAAAAAAAATTGTTTCTATTCAGATCTTTTTGCACACCAAAATTAACAATGTACTGTTACCTGAATATGAATAGACATAATGCTTGAAAGAAAATCTCTCATTAGGTTCATTAAAATTTTCAAGCAAGCCATATTTAATTTGGCAGCCTCCCCAAGGACCAACAAAGCCAGCGCTGAATCCAACCTGCAAAATTTATTAATAAAACATCAAAGATTTAATGTAAAATAATAATAAACAGTTACTAATGAAAAAGGTCATCGGCCAGAAGAAATGATTACCAGATACATTTATTTTCAGTAAAGACTAGTATTAGTTGTCACTGGTTACAATAAAAGTCTACAAGAAAGAGCTATATTTGAGTTTAAAGTAGTGTTCTGACAAAACTTGGAGAGTAATAAATATTACGAATGATCGCATTTCTTTATAGATCTTGTATAACAAGCAATCAAGGGCTCAGGTTCTAGAAATTGTCTCCAAAATCTCACAATAGGTTTTATTTTTAACTTTTTGCAACTGATTCCAAGGGGGTGAATTTCAAGAGAGTGTTTTCTTTCCAAAGAAAGAACAAATTTAAAAGTGGTCTTTCTAAATACTCCAAAAATTCTGCGTTACTTGATTTTACAAAAAGTTCAATTTCTCAAAATAAAATTTATATTTCACATTGAATATATGAATGTCAAGATTTACATATAATATAATATACTATTTATATTATATAACTGGGAAATCATACAAGAAATTATTAGCCATTAATGTACATGTATTCTGATAGTTTAATAAAATTATACATTTAGTGCTATTTTTACCCAATTGAAAGAGATAAGTTTGAAAGAGAACCGATAAGAATGCAAATGTAAAAACAGCCTCTGCCGAGAGCTGCATATTGCCTTGATTTATAGGCTATTAATAAGTTAAAGAGTTAGTACATTTTACAACTAAATTTAATTTCACGGTTGTGATATTTCAGGCCAGTAAGTCAAGTTCACCATCATTTTCAAAAAGAAACACCTCTACTCATGGACTAAAAAGACAATTCTTTATATTGAATGGAGCTTTCCAGATCTAAATGTGCTTTCACACAAATTATCTCACTTGATCTGAACCATAATTTTTGACATATTCAAGACCTTTTAATTTTTTTTTAATATTAGAAAATTGAGACATAAATTTGGGAGATTTGTCCAGGTTCATGTTTTAAGCTAAGTTAGCTATAACTGAAGTCTTCTCTCATCTATGAGTATTTCCTGTTTTGCTATTTTGCTTTTCCAAACTATTATTTAAGTACGCCAGTATTTAACTTCAGTATTACAAAGTTGCTTATTGCCTATCTGACATAATTTGTCTCCTTCTTACTTTCAGATCTAAAGGTCAGTTTGTTCAAGATGCAAAGTGCTCAGTTAATGGTGCCTCCTCAAGTTGGAAATGTTCTATGTCTTGATCGGGATAGTGATTACGTAAGAGTATGCATTTGTCAAAGGTCATAGATCTATATACATAAAATGTGTGGATTTTATTGTATGTAAATGATACCTCAATAAATCTGATTTAAAAAATGACTCCCTTAGCTCCCTTGAAGCTTGGGATAGCCATAAATGTAGATTTGGTCAATGAAATATAAATGGAAATACATTATGAGGCTTCTAGGTGAGCTATTATTTCTCTGATTAATAATAATAATAATAAAAGATTAAATTTAGATAACAGGTGCTTTTTTCTCCTTTGCTCATTTTTTTCCTCCAGCTTTGTGAGGCATACATGAGACTAGAAGGTAGAGCAGCCACATCTGGCAACAATGAGAATAAAAGCCACATGTTAAGAATGGAAGAAAAGGAAGCCAGAAGGAGCTTGAAACTTGTGGATTCCCTCAAGCATGTGCAGCAGTATAGTACACTGCTTGTTGTATGCAATAAAGCCCTATTTGGTAATGCTGTTGTGGTCAGGTAACTATTACATGCGCAAAAACTGAATCCTAACTGATATAACTTAACATAACGTTTATAAGCATAACCTTTAGAGTCAGAAAAATTTGAGATAAAATCTTAGCTCTTCCACCAATTAGATATATGACACAGGGCAATTTGAGTACCCTATTTCAGTCTTAATCTTCTCATCTGTGAATTAAATATAGCAAAGCCTACTTTTCAGAGACCACTATGAGACTTAAATGAAATACTCTGTGTGAAATGACCAGGTTCAAAATACTGAACTGAATTGAAGTATAAAAATACCATCCCCTCAAAGTCAAAAGATATGATTTGTTTTCCCTTGGGAAGTCCTTGAGTCACTGAAGAATAAAGTCCAGATCCCTCTGAGTGAGCGATGACTGTGTCATCCTGAGTATGCATTGCCCAGAGGTCACAATAAGGTCAAGTAAAGGAAAAGGTAGTCTCAGAGTTCCTGAAACTTCGTTTCCCCTGAACATACCTCATAATCATAATGTTTTGGTTCTTCTGTTCTCTTTTAAGTCTGGAAAATTATACTAATCTAGGGTACTCTCCTTGAAATAAGGAATGAAAAGATCCATCTGTGTCAGCCACCTATGGTAGAAAAATGCTTCACCAGAAACACACTATTTTTCATTCATTGCTGCTGATTGCAGAACTTTCTACAAGTAAAAATGCTTTTGCCAAAAATAGAATAGAAACACCAATTTATAGGTATTGATGTTTGCTAAAAATCAAAACTGAAAATCGATGTACACAGAAAGAAGAATTCAAATTGGATTAGGTTAGAAATTTTAACACAGCACTTGCTTCTTTGTGCTCATTATAGCACACCAAGACTCAATCGTTAATACACTGACTTGGTTTTACAATGCCATGAAATTAAATATGTACAAAATCACTTATAAGTATTATAGATTCCACCTTAATTTTGTAAATAAAGAATTCAAGGCAGAGGTTCACTGGCTTGTCTAAGATAGTATTTTCTGGGTTCTCCTTATTCCTCTACATCTGTTTTCTCAATGACAAAATTATAATTTTAAAAGATGGAATTAAATGTCTCCAAGTCAGAACCCTGAGAGAGGGTTATTTCAATCTTTCAATAGATACTTCGGAAAACAGTGATGATGTCAAAAATCCACACAACCCCGAAGACTAGGAATGAAAGAGAGGTCACTAAAAGCAGCAACTTACGTGGAATTTCCATAAACCACTGAATTAATGAAACCGGGTTCAGAAGAGCAATAAGAGATATTCATGTACCACTTTGTGAAACACGGCAGCATTTTTTCCCCGGAGAAAGTTAAAATAGTTAAAAAAGATCTCTACTGTCTATTTTTTCATAAAATCAGCCAAAGCGCCTTTACTTTGGGGTACTGATTTTTTTTTAAGAGCCAGAGTATTGTTTCTTTGCTTTATACTTATCTCTCCAAACTTATTCAGAGGTGACAAATTCCAGATGACAAAAGGTGTAGAAACACTGCTTGTTGAAGGTGTGTGTGGAGGAGATGGGAGCAGAAGGCAGGAGGAGTGCTATAAGGGAATACAGGAGCACATTTTCTCCTTAAAGGTACAATATCAAAGAGTAGGGAGAATATAGGAAGGTCCCTGATGATGTTGCATGTTAAATGTTGTAGCTTTTAACAATGCTGTTAGGTATACTATGAACACAAACTTCTAATTTAAAAATACCAAGACCAAATTTTTATAGATATCTCCTAGTTCTGAGGTAAGTAAAATAAAAATGGTGGAGGCCCAACATGAAACCAGTGAAAAATATGTTATAGTAAAGGTTAAAGAGAATATCAGTCTGAATACTCAGAGAGGATTGTACAGCACCTGGTCTTCCTAGATGGTCTCCCATCCAAATACTAACCAGGCCTGACCCTGCTTCACTTCCAGGATCAGACATTGGGCTTGTTCAGAGTGGCATGGCCATAGACCATGAGCTGTGGCTCCACTGGGGCATGAACTCAGCACCTTCTGCGTGTAAAGCAGACGTGCTAACCATTACGCTATGGAACCACGTCCTGAACATGATTTTTTATAGGAATCGGGACATATTTTTACAGAGTTCTAAGGAGCTTTAATAAAGCCAGGAAGAAGAAACAACAATGAAAAGCCTTGATACTAGGATGAAAGGTACTATATTAAGAAAATAAAAGATTGCAAGGAAATTAAAATTATAAAATTATAATTTGAATCTATAATTGAGGAAGTTCACTGCAAAACTAACACTTGAAAGAGAGTGAATTTGAAAAATTCTTCTTTAATTTAGAAAAAGACGACTACCTTTAAAGCAAGCAAACTGAGATCCATTGAAACAAATAAAGAAACAAAATCTAGAAAAGGAATCCATAGTACCACAGTAGAAAAATAACTTTAAGGTATTTAAAGTTATGAAGAAAATAGGATCCAAATGAAAGAAACCCTGTCCAATGCCAAGAAGCCCCAAATTTAATTTAAAACAATGCAGGCATATGTGGGTTTTTTACCATACTATAAGAAAAAACCTAAGCACAAAGAGACAGGAGGTGAGAACACACGTGAATGGCGAGTAATCAGTGGAAGACCTGCAAGGAATGGAAACCAGTAGCTAGAGTATTTGCATGCAGTTTCACATAATGGGGGCTTCTCTGTAAGCCAAGTGGAGAATCTGCTCCAACAGCTTCCTAAGATGGCCAGTGAGACAAGAGAGAATGCCATCTACTGCCTGGCTAGCAAATCACAAAGATGTTCCTAAAATTTAAAAAAGAGGTAGACTGACTTTGAACATCTCATCATAACTATAAGTTAGAAAACAACACGGTGATATATAGAGATTTAAAGAGGGAATTAAAAAAAAAAAAAAAAGCTGTGAGGACAGAAGCCTATTTCCAGACAATACAGTACATTATCCTTTTTAGGGGAATACTAAATGGTGACAAATGCTGCACTCAGCCAAGTGTTGTGTGTAATCAAAGACTCATCTAATAAAATAGGTCACCTATATTCATACTTAGAAATTTATTCAACTAAATCAAAAAATGAATAGTACTTAAGAGCTTAAGAAAATGAAAAATCTACTGTTAAATTGCTGATAGTGACTGGAAAAAAATAGATAAATTTTAATAAGTCAAAATAATTTTATAAATCTGATCCAAAAAGCAAATGTAAATATACAAAGAGTTCTTTAAAGAGAAGATAGAACATTTTAAATAATGATGTAACCATAATATCATCAGAAACTCAAGTTTATAT